AACGCAAGTGTAAATAGTAAATGGTACACATTTAGTAAGCCTCAAGTTGTGTTAAATACATTACTTTATTAGCCCGCACAGTGCCATTAGAGTTTCCTGTTTAGCTGTGCCTGCGCATCGCGTGTTCTGAATGGTCTCACTCATCTCTCACCTTGAGACCTAAATAGCACACGGAAGGTGCCTAACACGTGCTTCTTGAAGCGATACAGGATTTAACCTCTGTGTGCCAATTTAAAATTGGCTTTTAACAACAGTTCAGCTACTGCTTATTGGAATTGCATTATTGGAAAGTGAGTACAGCTTTCACAGTTCATTGAAATGTTACATTATACCTAGAACACCTAACTTCTTTACTCCAAGGGTAGCCATATAACTCTGGACAGATTACCTCTGGAGAACATAACTTTGTCTTTTTGAGACAGGCTGGCCCTGAACTCACTTTGTAGCCCAGGCTGGCCTCTAGGGATCCTCCTGTCAACCTCCTCAGTGCTAGGACTACGTATAGGCCTCCGCACCCAGCCAGGATTTGACTTACCTAAATTATCTTCTCCAAAAGTTGAGGAGGTAACTACTTCTCTAAGGAAAAATGAGGCCTCAGATGGCTACACATTGATGGGCTGCCGAGGGGAGGTTTCCAGTGGACATTAAGTCCAAGTCTGGAAGACTTTGGTGCCAGCGTGCTATGTCAATCTCAGTGTAAACAACTGATATAACCAGGGTCGTTTCAGGCATGTGGCCACCGCTGTGCATTTCGGCGTAAGTGTGGACGACCACGAGGGCTGACGGGAGACTAGGCTGGGAGAACAGGTGGGCTCCGCTGAGGAGGGCTGTTCACGGAACCCGAAGTGGACCTCCCCTGCCTGCACAGGTGGCCGTCTCACGGGATATAGTTGTAGACAGCTCATTTAAGTTGAAACCACCTGTGTATGCATAGGTAATGCTTCCTTTTGGCCAGAGTTTAGACTGAATTTAGCACCAAGAAGAGTCCTACAATTTGATGTGTGACCGATGACATCAGCTCACAAGAGGACAAGGGCAGCCTAGCAGCAGCATCTCTAATAAGCTCAAGGGGATTTCACCTTCAGCAATTTTAAGAATGAATAATTTGTGTGACTGCTACTTACAGTAACATTCAGCAAATATCAATTGGATACCTAGCCAAGTGATGGCAGTTTTAAAGTCTATTAAGGAAAATATCCCAAACAATTTCTGGAAATAAGCTTTGCAGAGAATCAGTTGGTACTGTTGGTTATATGCAGGCCAAGACTGTGTTTGGTGGCATAAATAACTGAGCATCTCTATTCTGGGCTTTCTGGCCTGGAGTTGTAGGTGTGGTGGGTCTCTAAGAGGGGCTCAAGCTGACAGTTCAAGCTGCGGGCACTTGCTTCTGTCTGGGCTCACCTGCCTGCACTGCCTGCACCTGGGTCAGTGTCAGCACGGGCACTCCGCCTTGCCAAGCGTGGTCCGCAGGGATTCAGCATGGGTGACCAGCGCAGGGAGGGAAGTGCTGATGCCCTGGGCGTGGCGCACACAGGAGGGGGCAGACAAGGGCGCCAAGGCTGGCAGGGAAGATACTGTGAAAAGCGGGCGTGAGAAGTGCCTGGGAAACACTCTGGACCGAGGCCAGAGGATTTTCTTTGCAGATGGCCATGTCTTACAGACTGTCTGGGTTCTTCGAAGTCGGTTTCTGGTAGCTTGGAAGTGTCAGATGATAGGGAAGCGCGTTCTTTAAAATTCAGTCCAGTCCCATCTGTGAAAGTGTGATTATGTCCTTTTGTTTGGCAATATTTATTTCCTGTCTTTTTTTCCAGCCATTATGCTAGTTCCTGTGGGTAATTAGAGAAAGTATTAATATGCTGTCTGTGTGAATTTATTAGTTGAATGACAAGACTAATACAAACTGAAACAAAATGTAATGAAAGCCAAACTTTTGATGATGTGTTGAAGAAGACAGCCATGATGTGGAAGTTTCCTCCAGACTCTGTGGGCTTGGGTTTAAAGACAATAGGATTTGCATGGCAGAAAGAACAGTTCCTCAGCAGGCCCAGAAGGGATGAGGGTGGAGGCAGGAGGTGGGCTTTTGGGCTTTCAAGCAGAGCCAGGCTGCATTTGGCAACTTGGGGAGGGAGATAAAGATGGAGGAAGAGCTTATCTTCTAGAGAGGGACCCTTCCTTCCT